CACCTTACCAAAAGCACTTTCACTGGAGGAGAAGAAATATCTGCTAGCTGTTGAAAGAGGAGACTTGGCAAATGTGCGACGGTAAGAATAAATTAAAGAGGGTTTTTTTCCTTTATTTGGTGAATAATTTAAAATTTAAATGCAATTAAAATATCTAATGCTTGTGAATGAAATTAAAAAAAAATGTGTCACAAAAATGTACATAGTATGCTGCAACGAGCACACCGTAAGAAAACATTCGACATCAATTGTGTCGATTCACTGGGGCGAGGCGCTCTAACGATTGCAATCGACGCAGAGCATTTAGAAATGGTTGAATTGCTTGTAATTATGTCAGTGGAAACCAGAGACGCTTTACTGATAGCAATCAATGCTGAATTTGTTGAGGCTGTAGAACTTCTTCTAGAGGTTTGTTCTATCACTTTTTCCCATTCGAATTTTAATTCAAAACAAAATAAAAGACAAAAACTTAAAACTCGAACATCATCGAAATTGCATGCAGCACGAAGAACTTATCCATAAGGAAGGCGAACCTTACGTAAGTTGTTACATTGAAATCTATTTATTTTGCATTTAAATAACAAAATCAATTTGTGACGATGCAGAGTTGGCAAAAGGTTGATGTGAATACAAGCCAATTTACACCAGATATAACGCCCCTGATTTTGGCTGCGCATAAAAACAATTTCGAAATTTTGAAGATTCTTTTGGATCGTGGTGCTGCTGTTCCAACTCCACATGATATCAAGTACGCGGTTTTTTTTCTTCATTTGTTTCGCTTGCATTTTATTATCATTTCAAATGGAAATCAATTTTAATTAGATGCGGTTGTGATGATTGTCTTCGAAAATCATCGGAAGATTCATTACGATTCTCATTAAGTCGTGTTAATGAATATCGTGCATTGGCCAGCCCATCACTTATTGCACTTAGTTCGGCCGATCCACTATTGACTGCCTTTAGATTGTCATGGGAATTACGTAATTTAGCGTTTGCCGAACAAGAATGTAAATCGGAATATTTAGAATTGCGTCGCCAGTGTCAACAATTTTCCGTTGATCTATTGGATCAATCACGTAGCTCACAAGAATTGGCCATTATTCTAAATCACGATCCAGAAGCACCACCATACGCTGATGGGGATCATATGAAATTGGCTCGATTGGAAATTGCAATTGAATATAAACAAAAAAAGGTAATTTGTTGAATGGAACTTATTTTTTTCAAGTGTTTTCTTTTTGAAATGTCTTAAAAAAATGAGATAATAATTTATTCACCGCCAAAATCGTGCTTGCTGAATCGTTTTTGAGTGTGTACAATTTTTTATACATGTATGCACAGAAACAAGTATTTGAGTACGCTTACTCCTAGGGGGAAAGAACAAAATTTATTGAATTTTTATTTGGGGTTATTGCACGAGTATTAACATCTATTTACCGTATTGAACGATATTTACAAATATTGAACGATATTTACAAATATTGAACGATATTTACAAATATTGATCGTATTGAGTCATATTGTTGAGACGTAAATACTTGTCAATACGTGTAAATACTTGTCAATACTGGAAATGAATGTAAATACGCGTAAATAAAAATTTCGTTTGTCAAACCTAATGTCAAACTGTCTTATCGACTGAATTATTCATACAAAAAACTCTAAAAAGTATAGGGGACTTGTGCTAGCAGTGGGACATGTTTTGTTTTTCGAAGAAAAAAATGAACCCTTAGAATATATCGAGAAGTTGTATATACCATTTTAATGGTAATGTCTGTTGCTACATTTTTGCCAAAGAAACTTATATGATTCCGTCTCAAACAACATTTTTCTTGACAATTTTCTGAAGAGATGATTTTTTGCCAAAAAAAAATTTTTGGCCACCAGTGGGACACTAGGTAAAACGCAATGGAGATTGCTGGAAAACTAGGAAAATGAACAAAAAACATCACGCTACGAAAGTTTATAGAATATTTATTGAGTCAATTGTCCATTCATATGAGAACAAACAAAAATTATTCGATATCATCACTTAATTCTTTCGCTTCATTGGTATATTTAGACTCACAATTTTTGCATGTGAAATAACTGACCGATTTGTTATGGCATTTCAAGTGTTCTGGTGCATCGCACTCGTTGCAATGTATGGTGTTGTCTCGTGCCTGTCTTTGTGGCATTTTTTTCGAGCAAACCGTACAAAGTTCTACACTTGAAGTGGTCGATGAAGATGACGATGAAGATGCCTTTTTCTTTGCTCGTTTTGCAATTTTCTTTCACTTTTCCTTTTGATGTTCACTTGACCGATTTTAGAATTGGACTGAGACAAGTGGGCGAATGTCACCAACTTATATCGAATGTCAACAAGTGGGCGAATGTCACAACTCATGAAATCGAGTCGAAATTCATTCAAAAAGCGTGCACCGATGATATGAAACGTATTCGAGTCAAAGCATTTACATACTGCACACAAATTTCCATCAACATTTTTATGAAAACACATGTGATATACTGAGATGGCTTCTAGTGGATGTCCCACTGCTGGACAAATCAAGTGTCCCACTGGTGGAAAATGCTTCATTTTGACCAACTAACGAAAAATGTATACAAACTCAATATTTTTGTAAATCACTTTGCCACCATTAAAGAACACTTGAAAATTAAACAAAATGCATATAATCCCTTTTCGAATCGTTGAAAAATGTTCATTTAATGGGCCCAACCGAAAACTTCGGAAAAGTTTTTTTAGAATTTATTTTGGGAGGTGTTTGGCATTGTATAATGAACGCGTGTGATCGCGCTAAAAACCATTTAGAAAGTGATTGTGCATTAATATTAAATTATCAACGTGAAAACATTGACATCTTTAGTAGAAAAAATCAAAAATATTTCACTGTCCCACTGCTGGACTAGTCCCACTGCTAGCGCAATTCCCCTACTTTTTGTAAATAAAAAATAAAAATAAAATTTTTTCTTAATGTTTTCTAGCGGAAATTAATTTTCTTTTTAATTTTGCTGGGATTTGTGCGGTGATTATTCGCTGATTATTAAATCAAAAATAAATATGCGTAACATAACCTCACTTTTAATTACGTAATTAAAA